TACTGTCACTGTAAGAAAATTTACTGCAAAATCTAATTTAAAAATAAATTTTGTTTGGACAGCACAGCAATGTTCTATTTTGGTATTGAATGAAAGGACTAGTAGCTGGTTATTCTATTAGGAGATCTTTAATGCTTCGTTACTGAAGTAATCTGATTTATTCCACATAAGGGAAAATATATATTCTTCTGGAAATTTGTAGTGAATTTCAGGGCAAAGTCACTTCCAACAAAACTGATTTAGCAATACCCACAGGTGATGGCATGAACTCTATCAAAGTCAAGGAAATTACCTTTCAAACTCTTGGCAAGAATTTCTTTCAGGATACTCTGAAAGTTTCAGAGCACTGAGTGTACTGACTTGACTGCTAAAGGAAACACTCAGTAATTAACAGTTGGATCTCAAAAATTAAGAATTCACAGATCTTCAAGTCAAAACATGAAGTTCAGTCTTGTTGAGGATTAATCCCACGGTCACTCATACTAAAGTGCAGTGTTTGTCACATGTAACTAAGTCACTGAAAGATCATCAAATTAATGCAAAACCACAAGGAAATAATTTTCTTTTTTTTAATCGTGTATTTAAACATATTTCTAAGTAGAGTAAACACCATAGAAAGTTAATTTAAGGGCTTTTAATCAAGAAAACCCCAGGTTTTGGTAACAAAGTTTCAGGGGTTTTGGGGGGATTTGGGATTTTTTGTTTTGTTCTTAACTTCAGTGGTTGCAGCTTGAGATTACATGCATATAATTTAAAAGTTAAACTAACAAAAAAGGTGATAATAATTTTTATATCTTTTCCCTCACATGCCATTAGAATTTCTTTTATGACTATTGGCTCTCCAGGTCAAACTTTATATCTTTCAAAGGGAAAATAATTTTGACCATTTCTAAAAAGATGATCTATCCCGTAGAGTAAAATCCGCTTTCCATAAGAACAGGTATTTATTTCACATACATATATAAAGCAATTTTAATATTATATAAATACTCATTTATCTATCTATACAGCTATCTAATTTTGTTACAAGCAGGTTTATGAGTTTTGGAAGGAACCACCATATAGGAAAGAACATCTTTGTGGACGCCTTTGTGGTCATGAAAGTATGCTCCACAAATATGGCATTTCTGAAACATCTGAAAAAAACCCCACCACATCACAGTGCTGAAACTTCTCCTACCCTCAAGCTCTTCATATTACAAAATGAATAAGCTTTTCTAGGCAAGCCTTGTGAAGTTCTCAGAAGACTGTGGTCCTTCTTGCGGACTCTCAGAAAGCAAAAACGATGTCTGGAACAAGTAGTCTTGATACATATTTCTAACTACCAATTTTTAAGTTCAGATGAATTGAAACATTTCTATGGATGATAAATACATTTTTAAAAAACATTTACATGCCTTTTGTCACACTATGCAATACAGAATTTTTTGAGATAGAAAGAGCACAAAGCATTAAGGCAATTAGGCAAAATGATGGATTTGAACACATGCTGCATTTTACTGTTAACATGTATGCATAACTTCCATTAATGTCAGTATGAGTTATGTGTGCACTGCTAAAATAATATGACCATAACAAAAATATTTCCTCCAGAACTAATATAGTAATATTTTTAATAGACATTTGGGGAAAAAAAATTCACATATTTAGAAAGCAACATGCAAATGCAAATCCTTCTCCAAACTTAACACTTTGGAATTCTTTAAAATAAGTCTTATTTTTTCACATGTTGGCATCAAGTTAAGAATAACTTGATGTTTATCTCCTTCTGTCCAACTACCTTTCATTTAAAGAGTACTTACCTAGTTTCCAGTTCAAAAAGACCAACCAGATAATGAAACAAGATTAAGCTGCTATCCATTTTTATTCTAAACTTACTTAAATAACTGCATGTATATGGGAACATGTAATGACAACTGAAGAAGTCATTTAAAACTGACAACTGATTGTAGCCAGTAAATTAAGATGGATCTTGGCAACGTCAGCCAGATGGGTCTAGAATGCAGAGTTATGTTTGGAACTTGAACATAATATAAGCATAGGAAACCATCATGAATGTTTTTAAACACACAGTTCATGCCTACTTAACTGGAAACTAGCAGCCAAAAACTGTAATCACTCAATATTAAATTAAAAAAAGGATACATAGAACTTATGGTCAATGCTGCCAATTAATAAATGATCTTAAAATATCAGAGAGAAGACACACTATTTTAGTGTATTACTACAACACAGAATTATCATTATTCTGTCAGTGGATGTCTGGGTCTTAGCTAGCTTCTACAATCTGTTTTTGAGAATACCTTATTCATAAAAAAAAAGTAATGCCATATTTAGTATACTCTATTGTAATGCAGCAGTTTTATAAAGTTTGTCATACACTTATTTCAGTAAGCAATTTCAAAAATTAAACTACTGTAATGAAATATCTGAATTCTTTCTAAAAGACATTTACTAATACATATGTATCAATTTATGTTTAGTATATCTTATTAAATTAAAGAATCTGAAATTAAGATTTACATTTAATTTACATTTAATAGCAGTCATGTAGCCCCTTCCCATACACAGAGCTCAAAAAAAATGAATAAGTATGTTCATTTTTGCTTCTTTGATTCAGTACTAATGTTGTTAAGGAGGCAGTAAAAAGAAGAAAAGTAAATACGATCATGTGAATTTCTGTCATTATTGTATTTGTTCTCTCTGTTTAGTAATATTGTGCTGTGATTTTATATATTTTGTTTTGTTCATTAACTCTATTTCCTATGTCCTAGGCCAGCAAAACCATCCTGATGTCTGACAACCGTATTCATTTCTTTCCATCTCACCACAAGCAATAGAAGTTATGTCTGATTCCATCTCCAATATGAACTCAGCTTTGTAACATATTTCACAGAAACTAAAGTTAGGATAGAATTAAAAATAGTAATAGAATTTTTTTTTAAGAAAGTGAGTTCTCATTCTAAGTTATTAGCTGAATCACAGATTTCAGGCGGAATGATTTATATATGAGTTAGAGCATCAGACTCTTAGAAGTAATGACGCAGGGCTAGGTAGCAGGGAAAGCTAGTAGAGGATTAGGTAACCCTCTGTGGCCTAAGTAGGAAGAAGTATGCATTATAATTAATTGTATTTTATTATTACAGGTTAGAAGGGTTTTGTTATTAACTTAGAATTTCAAACGAATTTGAGGTCAACTCATAATTAAAAATGAAAACTGTATATGAACAATTGCTTCTCTTGAAGACAGAAAAAAAGGTAATGGCAGAAAAAGTCTACATACTTAGCTAACAAAGTAGCAATTAAAAAAATCAAAGGCAAAAAAGAAAAATAAGAAGTCTTTTACAAAAGAAACCATACTAATGACTACTCAAAGAAAAAAAAAACCCGCACATTTAACTAGAATTTTTAATTAATTTAATTTTTTAGATGATTATTTAAAATTTTCTTCTAATTTTACTATTTTACTTTTAAAATTGATACTGTAAAAACACACTATATGTTTATACCTCATTTTAAATTCCAAACTATTCCTAACTTGGACCTTTGATACTGGGTCTTTCACTACTAGTACCATCCACTCAGTCCTTTATTCATACAATAGAACAGCTTTTATCAAAAGAGAAGTCAAACGTCACCATTTTTTGCCAACCTCACTTCCCAGACTGATGATACATGCTTTACACAGTTCTGTGAGGTTCTGTGTACCCAACCAAAAAAGTCACAGTAACAGAATTAAAGATACTGCTTTTTTTTTTTTTTGCCTATGTTGCTCAATAATTGAAGATTATAATAAAAAGAAAAAAAAAAAAATCTTACCATTAGGACAAAAAACAAGCATGCACTCAAAGAAACAGACCAAAGCACTATACAGAAAATAGATGACTGCATGAAATATACTGGCACTGAGCACTGAGTTATCATAGATGAATTAGTATGTACATATAAAAGAGAATCAGAAAACTAAAAAAATGTATCTGTTATAGAATGTAATATCACATACTATTCTAATTCATATGTGTTCCCATTTTTCTGTATGGATATAGACTCATTAAAGTCAAAAGCAGAAGTTCTTTTGATTTCACTGGAAACATTCATGCTTACATTACAGTATTTCTGCATCTATATTACATGGCAGCCATTCTTAAAACCTACTTTTGTAAAACTCTAGTAAGCATATGTTTCCATTTCCACTTTGTCTTATTTACAACAACATTATTAAAATAATTTGTTCTGATTATTTACTTTCCTTTAAAATTAAGGATATCTACAACAAGCTGAAGTTATATATGGCTTAAGTGTTTTGGGGGCTTTTTGCGTTCCTCAGTAAAACAGTTTTGAAATTACAGCTGTGAGTTTTCTTTGTTGAATGTTAACTACACACTTAGCAGCCTAGCCAAGTCATAACAGGTTCACTCTTTTTTGCCAATTTTAAAGATCATGTCAGAGCTTTAACATCCCATAATTACAGATATTTACCTTTATTGTGGGTAGGAAGTTAGATTTAAATTATAGGTCTATCTTCCTTTTTCAGTTCTGTACATTTATACATACTGATAATGTGTATGCAAATAGGTTTTTGTTCGTTTAGGTTCACAGGTGTTTTTTAACCAATTCAATGCAATAAACTTTGCACCACCCATAAAAAGTTAATAAACCCCTGTCCTTGAATTTGACACTAACTGAAACTCCAACATAGAATTCCCACTGAAAGATGGGGCTTTAGACCCTCAATTTCTTATGGAAGTTATACTGTGCTGATATTTTATTTGCATGTAACAAAGGACAGCTTTCAAAAAATTCTGCTCATGTCAATTGTTGACTACTTCTAAAATGAAGACTTTTGCATTTCCATATTTTAAAAGGAATTTAACAGTCTTACAACTATTAGAAGTCCTTAGATTCAGACTTAAACACCTACAGAAAAAAATCCCCTTCTTTTATGGCCAGAAAGTAGTAATTTTAATTTCTCTATAAATTAGAGAAATCAATGTACTTACTTCATTTCTAGAATTTCTTCAAGCTGTTTTCTTCGCTCTATTCTCAGGTTAGCCAGATGTGCTTCTTTTTCAGCCAAAGACTGCTGTGTTGAGGCAAGACGGGCTTTGGTAGAATCTAATTCTTGTCTAGTCTTTTCCAGTGCATTCATCAGCTCTTCTACCTAAGAGATAGAACTTTTTAAGCTCCATATTCTTTACAATAAGAGAATCTTAAAGCAATATAAATCCAGAAGAAAAAACGTCACAAAAGGAATTATTTTAAGTAAATAGCTGTTCAAATCCATTCCTATCTTAACTATTTTAAAAACTAACAAAAGTAGTCTTTAAATACCAAAAAATCTTAATGTTTCCATGAATTCATTGAGTAATAAGCAACATTTATACAAAACAGAACTAACACAGATCGCCAGAAACCTGTTTAACCTGGGCCACTGCCACATACAGACGCAATTTATAAATATTTTCTGCACCATTTATATTATCTAAATTCAGGGTGGTGGTAACTCATCATAATAGTAATTTCAGAAATTTTAGACACAGATATAGGTATATATCTTAATATAAAACTGGTCACAACAATCCATGTATTTTTCATCAAAACATGCACACCCTTCTGTGTGGAACAGGTTGTTCAGAGAAGCTGTAGACTCTCCAATCCTTGGGTATTTTCAGATCTTGACTGAATAAAGCCTGGAGAACCTGATCTAACTTCAAAGTTATCCCTGCTTTGAGCAGGGGTTTTGACTGCATTGCCTCTAGTAGTCCTTTCTAATCCAAATTATTCTATGATTCCGATCTTTAAATGTCTGTTACTGCTCTAATAACAACCAAATTATTTTCCTCATGACAACTGTGAGAACCTCTGAAGTATGAAATATAGGAAAGTTAGGGTGATCCCACTCTTTCTTTAGCGTTGGTAAATATCAACTCGATGTAGGATAAATTGCTTATTGCAGGAATTCAGAAAACCTTCATTTTTTCAGAAGACAAAATTCAGAAGTAAAAAAGTGTATGACATGGTCTATCACATTATTTAAAGAACACGCTAAAGAATGGAGACTACATATGACACCTGTCTGGCAGCAGAAAATTTACTTGTGGCATGAATCACCATATTCACAGAACCAGAGGGTCATGAATAGTCTCTGGTTACCAGGACACCAGTATGATTTCCCCCTACTCAAAAGATACAGTTTACATTAAAAGCTGAGAGAAAACAACAGATTTAATTTGGTTTTATGATATATAATTATTTAAATAATGAATGTCCTATTTCCCATGTTTTCTTTCTCACCTCCTTTGTCCAAATATTAACATTTTATAAATTAGCCAACACTTCAGGAAGAACATCTAAATAAAATGAAATGGGAGAGAGGATATATCCCAGTTGTTCATGTTATGCAAGCCATTGAAAAGTGTTCATTTTTACTGGTGTATTGAAAAGTCTGACAATATCCTACTGTGGTCATATAATCAATGTGTCTACAGAGAAAATAAGATGTTTTCTCCCAAGTTTGTGCTTAATTGTTGTTTGTTGTTGTTATCTAAATCCTACTAGCATGCAATCAGTGTTTATAAGCCACATATTTTTGCTTCAGTTTGAACACACATTGCCTCCTATATAACAGGTTCAATAAAGCAAAATTAATAGTACATCTTCATCAAATAATAATGAGGACTCACACCCTGTTTGAAAATTATACACTGATTACTTACCCCTTCTACACCAGCTGCATCTGCATCTTTATAAACACTCTAATAATCATAGAATCATTAAGATTGGAAAAGACCTCTAAGATCATCGAGTCTAACCATCAACCCAACACCACCATGCCCACTAAACCATGTCC